AACCACTAAGGCTGTGTCTAGACTACATGGCTCCATCGATGGAGCCATGTAGATTAGGATTGTAGGCAAAGGGACATGAAGCGGCGATTTAAATAATCGCAGCTTCATTTAAATTTACATGGCTGCCGCGCTGAGCCGACAAACAGCTGATCAGCTGTTTGTCGGCTCAGCGCGGCAGCCATGTAAATTTAAATGAAGCTGCGATTATTTAAATCGCCGCTTCATGTCCCTTTGCCTACAATCCTAATCTACATGGCTCCATCGATGGAGCCATGTAGTCTAGACACAGCCTTAGTGGTTACACATGAGGCTTGGATTTATACTGCAGAGCCCACAGTGAAGACTTCCCGGGAGCAGAGATGCCAGCCCCTACTGGTTCTGCTCCCGGAGAGTGATGACACCTCCCTAGAAGCAGAGTGGGCAGCTCTTGCCCTCCAGGCTCCCAAGAAGGCGGCGTCTCTAAAAAGTTTAACCAAAACCATAACCCTAAATGGTTCGTCGGTTAAACTCTACCGTCCCTAACTCTGTCATATCTTTTTCTAGAAGACCTATGTGAACTAAGCCAGTGTGTCATAGCGCTAGCAATACAGCTGTTGCACCTCCCTGTCCAAATAATAATCACAGTAGTGCAGGACTGAGTGTATTAGAGATGAATGTCAACTAATTTAGCCACCAAATAGGCATAGCGTAGGCAGGCGCTGACTAGGTCAGGGCTACTCAATATGCAGCACGCGGCCTGTTTATTTGTGGCCCGCGGTGCGGTTTGGGTTTACATGGGGCTCAACACGAGGCCTGCGGGTAGGATCCTTTGAACACGGCCTCCTCTGGGACACGCTTCACAACAGCAAGGCATCTCCCAGGAGGGGTGAGCATTTGAAAGACACGAGCAGACGGGCTGGCTGGCACTAACGGGTACAGGGTCAGTGTTTCCAGCCCCCCAGGGAGGAGGTAGCTGGGAGCGCCGGGGCATTGTGGGAAGTGCTGGCTGCCTGTGGGCAGAGCCTGAGAGGTGTTAACTGGCTCACACTGGCCATGTTTGGGTCCAGCACCATGGCTGGGCAGACTCCCATGTGGGGACATCAGCCCTGCTGAGAATCCAGGACAGGGCTCCCGGGCCTCTGGTATCCAGCCTGACCTGTCCAGCTCCCCACTCACCGCAGGCTGGAGCCCTTGGGAAACTTTTTCCTGAGTAAAATCACTCCAGGAAATGCAAAGCCTAAAGCTTCAAGCTAAACACACAAACCACTGGTATACAATTTTCTTTTTAATGAGAAGCATTAAAAATGGCAACAAAGAAGAGACGCTTGTTGAATGAACACAAGGTTTTCAACCCTGCTTGGGAGATGGAATTCGCTTTTGCAGAGATAAATGGAAAACCAATGTGTCTTCTTTGTCAAAAGACTATTGCTGCATTAAAGAAAACAAACCTGCAACGGCACCACGAATCTGGATACTATTTGCATATATATTTGCATGTCTATGCAACCACACTTAAGTTGAGGCCCTCGCATGTCCTGTGACTATCATTGCGGCCGTCGGGGCTTCCAAAGTTGAATAGCCCTGGACTAGGTGAACCTCAATGGGTACAGTCCAGTCCCCCGCACTGAGGCACAACCCACAATTTTCTAGACCAATGGTTCTAGAACTTCTGTATGAGTGACCCCATCACACAGCAAGCCTCTGAGTGTGCCACCTTTATAAATTATATTTAACACTATTATAAATGTGGGGGGAGGAAGCAGGGTTTGGTGCGAAGGCGGACAGATCACTATCCCCATCTAATATCCTTGTGACCCTTGAAGGGGTCATGACCCCCCAGTTTGAGAACCCCTGATCTAGACCATTCTTGACAGACTTGTGTCTACCCTGCTCTTAACCTCCAATGATGGAGATTTCACAACCCTCCTAGGCAATTTGTTTCTGTGTTTAACTACCCTGACGGTTAGGTAATTTTTCCTAATGTCCAACCTAAATTTCTCTTGCTTCAGTTTAAGCCTAGAGCTTCCTATCCTGTCCTCAGTGGATAAGAAGAACAATTTATAACAACCTTTTTATGTAAGTGAAGATTTATCTCATCCCCCATCAGTCTTATCCAGATGAAAACCCTTTTTTCAATCTTTCTTCATAGGTCCTGTTTTCCAGACTTTTAATCATTTCTGTTGCTCTTTTTCGGACTTCCTTCAATTTGTCCACATCTTTTCAGAAGTGTGATGACCAGAATTGGGTGCAATACTTCAACTGAGACCTTGTCACCGCTGAGTAGAGAAGAACAACAACTTCTCATGCCTGGCTTGTAACGCCCATCCTAATACACTCCAGAATGATGTTTGCTTTATTTGTAACAGCATCATATTATTGACTCATTTAGTTTGTGATCCACTATAAACTGCAGATCCCTTCTGGCAGAATTCCTTTCTAGGCAGTCATATTTGTGCAATTCATTCTTCTTTCCTAAGCGGAGTCCTTTGCATTTATTCTTCTTGAATTTCATCCTATTTATTTCAGACCATTTCTGCAGTTTGTCAAGGTCATTTTGCATTTTAAACCGGTCATCAAAGGGGCTTGCATCCTGTCTCAGCATGGGGTCATTTGAAAACTTTGTGATTGTATTCTTTAGCCCTTTATCCAAATCATTTAAGAAGATATTGAATAGAACTAGAGCCAGGACACATCCCTACTGGACCTCACTTGAGATGCTAAATACTCTCAAGTACACTTTTCAAACAAGTGTGCACCCACCTTATAGTATGTTTGTTCAAGCTTTATTTCATGTCAGAGCATCAAAAGCCCTACTCAAGTCAAGATATAGCACCTCTCCCGTGTTCTCTCTCCCCCCTCCACCAGGCTTGTTACCATGACATCCCAAGAAGGGTATCAGGATGATTTGACATGATATGTTGTTGATTTATCACCTTATTTTCTTCTAGGTGCTGACAACTGGATTGTTTGATTATTTACTCCATTATCTCTCCGGGTACCAAAAGCTATCTGGCCTATGACTCCTTGGGTTATCCTTATTCCCCTTTTTATATATGGGCACGATATTTGCCCTTTTTCAATCTTCTGGAATCTCTCATATCCTCAATGAGTTCTCAAAGATCATTGCTAACAGCCCAGATCTCTTCGCACTGTAACTTTAGTACTCTAAAATATAATTCATTAGATCTCATCTATTTAAAGACAGTTAACTTGTTAAAACTTGTATCCAACTTTTTGGGGATGAACCATCCCTTAATTCTACATCGCAGGCATTTATTTAACATCCCTTTAGAAGTTACAGAAACTATATAACTGTTGGACAAATCTAGGACCTACTATTTAAAAGTATTGAACACTCACAACTCCAAGTAAATAGAAACAGCTGATGTTCCAAAAATTCAGGCCCCATGTCTCATCCTAGGTTCCAAATCACTAAAATCCTTAAAATTATTGGATGCTGTAAGTTTTGGTCTTACTTTCCCTATTGCTCAGTTCCCTATTTGCAAAATTGGAACATTACTGCTCTGCCAAAGAGAAAGGTTATGATAAATTGAGGAGGCACTCAGATGATGTGAACTTGAGAAATCCCTGTGAATAAAATTAATTCTGAGTTCAGTGCAAGGTTTGACAGTACCCAGCAAATATGGGAGGGAGGACACCTGGAACAGTGAGGCTATAAAGTAATACTGAAAGACTGTCTCGCTTATGGAGAATTGTCCATCCAGTGCCCTTAATGAGGCAGAAGTCCTGTGGAAAAAATATGATCATGTAAGTAAAGACTGTCAATTCATATGCATTAGTTGCAGAACTAAGTTGTGTGGGCAGCCTAATTGTGGCATTTCTTGGCACCTGAATTATGAACTTTGCAATTTTAACGTTTTAAACAATTTTTTGCTATATTTTATACACACACATCAACACACCCCACATATATTCTACATGGAAGAAATATTTTCATAATCATCATGGTAAGGGAAGGGAAGAAGATTTTGTGCCGAGGCTGTTAAGAGAAAGTGGCATAAACTTATAGGCTAAACATGCATCTATAGGTTGAACCTCTCTAGTCTGGAATCCTCGGGACCTTACCAGTGCTGAACCAGAGAATTTGCTGGTCCACGGGAGGTCAATATTGTCTTGCAGCATTATCAATACTTCTAATAGCCCGACAAATGGAAGACTTTCAGCGGTAAATTAGAACTAAACAACAGCACAGAACAGAAAGCCAGGACTGGTGGCGGTAAACAAAGTTCATGGGACTGTAGGAAACTTGGCCACATCCATGAAATGTGGACATTCAGCTAACTAAAATCATTCCAGATCACAGGTATTGCCAGACCAGAGAGTGATGAACTAGAGAAGTACAACCTGCACTAGACAGACCAATTATACCCAGGAGAACTTAGCTTTGCTTTCTAGTTTATAGGTCTAATATCATAAATGTATCACAGCCATGATCTCTCTTATTCTTCAACTTCTCTTTGAAGAACTGTAGAAAAATGCCATGTTAAAAGACAATTACAACATACTGCATCTGACTGTATTCCAGATGGGAGAGGCGGTTATTTTGTGATTCTCACATCCTTCCTACTTTGTATGCATCACATTTTGTTGTGAACATTTATTTGCATCAAAAAACACATTTATATCTTGACAGAATTCAAAGACAATTACTCTTCTGTTCCTTTTGAGAGACCTCACAAAAACGGTTTCTATTTGCAGCACCTACAGCTATTTCCAGCCAACTGTTCTGCTGTGTTAAACTGTATCCTTCTTCATTAAAAGCATACACCCTAAAAATTGGTATAACTTTTATTTAAACCTGTGTAGTCCAAAAGATTTAAATGCATAACCTAAAGGCACAAAATTAAGTCAAAACAAGACATGATGGCTTTCAAGTGCTTAGTTTCCTACAGGTTGTGAATAAGCAGCAGATTTCACATTACTACTTTATCCACAGCTGAGAACAAACATCCATGAAGATTAATTACAGGTTGGACCATCCAAACAGCATGAACTCTCACCTTTATGCTTCCTCCAATGAGATCAGGCGGCTCTTCATCTGTTTCTAAGGCAACATTGATGGAGGCAAAAGGACGGCTAGCCATCTGTTGCATCTCACGTAGTAGTTGCTAGTGAATAAACACAGAGGTATTAATACACTGTTCCAACATAAAGAATACAAAAATGTTCAACAGATTTTACTGAATGTGGAAAGATATGGACTCCAGCATGCAAACTCTTCATAACAAACTCCTGATGCTTTCTCTGGGCATAAAGAGGATTCAAGGGAACCTGGTGTGAATAATTACTAAATAAAACCAATGGCATAAACGTAAACAGATCTAAATCACTCCAGTGTTGACCTTTTATATGTCTACACCAATCAGACAACTGCCAACGTACTTAACATATTAGTATACCACATATTAACATTAAACAGTCCCGTGTATTACTCTCAACACTCCAAATAGCTCTCTGAACAGCAAGCCTAGCTTGCAGGAATGTGTTTTATTAAAATAAAATGCCCATTTCTGGATAAATTATTAGAATCCCCTAAAACACAAGAGGCATCTTTTATTGTTCTCTTTGTGAAGCTGAATTTCAGTGTTATGGTTCTCTGTCAAACACAGCATGGCAGTCTCCACATAGTAGAGCTTGAAACTACAGTTCCAACTGTAGCTTAGCTTTAGTAGGAAAAGATATCCTTTTCAGTTCCTGTGGTTAAAAATCCCTTGCACTCACTGCAAAGTAATGAGATCTAGGTGTCACGCATCAATTCCAGCAAGAATGGGAACAATGGGACACACTGCCTGTTAACAATCAGTGATATAACATATTGGAAACAAACAGCACCAGCCACTTAAAGATCAGAATGTTGATTTAGGGATTTAAAGACTAACAAGATGGTTTATTAGATGATGAGCTTTCGTGGGCCAGACCCACTTCCTCAGATCAAATAGTGGAAGAAACTAGTCACAACCATATATACCAAAGGATACAATTTAAAAAAATGAACACATATGAAAAGGACAAATCACATTTCAGAACAGGAGGGGGATGCGGGGGGGGGGGGAGGAAGGAAGGTAAGTGTCTGTGAATTGATGATATTAGAGGTGGGGAGAGTGGGATGTCTGTGAGCTAATGGTATTAGAGGTGATAATTGGGGAAGCTATCTTGGTAATGGGTAAGATAGTTTGCGTATTTGTTCATTCCTTCCCGGAGAGTGTAGAATTTTAACATGAATGACAGTTCAGAGGATTCTCTTTCAAGTGCAGATGTAAAAGGTCTTTGTAGCAGAATGCAGGTGATTAAGTCATCGAGAGAGTGTCCTTTCTGGTTAAAATGGCAAGAAACCGGTTTTTCTTTGTGATCTTGTCTGATATCTGTTTTGCATCCATTAATCCTTTGGCGAAGTGTCTGAGATGTTTGTCCAATGTACATAGCAGACGGACTCATGTGTGTTCATTTTTTTTAATTGTATCCTTTGGTATATATGGTTGTGACTACTTTCTTCCACTATTTGATCTGAGGAAGTGGGTCTGGCCCACGAAAGCTCATCATCTAATAAACCATCTTGTTAGTCTTTAAAGTGCTACATTGTCCTGCATTTTGCTTCAGCTACCCCAGACTAACACGGCTACATTTCTATCACGATTTAGGGATTGTACAGCAATGGGTATTGCACTTTTGTATTACTATTACTTGTCATTCACTCTACTATAACTACTACTTCTAATTCCAAAGCAATTTTGCAGATACCTGGAACAATACAGTATCATCACTCACTCTCCACGGCGTGGTCCTGTCCCTCCAGATGGTGTCTCACCATCTAGTTGGTAGTTGGCCTCCAGGTCTAACTGACTTTGGTTGTACCTGTATTATTTTAATTGGCATCCCCTCATCTGTCTTTTGCAGTGTCCTCAGCATCCTAATCTTTTCTATTGCAGCCAATCCTGTATTCCGATTTCACATCCTACCCTCTTTCTAACTTAGTCTTAAAATCATTTCACTATACAACTGTCACCTTCTGAAGAACTTATCTGTACTGCCTCCAGCCTTCTCATGTCTGTTCATTTAATGTGGCTGTCTCCAGAGTAATACTGTTATATGACTATATGATCTGGAACAAAGTCAAGTATAATCTGCAACTGTGAGCTCTTCCATACCCGGCCAATATTGTCTCCTCTATGACACCAAAGGAAGTTTGTACCACTACTAGAACAGTCGGGCCTGGAGCCAACAGGGTTCTAACATTCAAGAGTATAATACATTAGCCATTATCCAAAATGCATGACCATTTCCGTTTGACAGGCCTGACTCAAATGAGCAGACAGTCCTTTAGTCACATAATTTCCGTATTTTTCTTCAACAGCGCACCTCCTTCTGTCCCTCTTCCTCTCTCATCCAGCTGATTCCTGATCAACTCATTCATTGCCGACTGATGTTAAACACTTCCTTGTTTTCCATATCACTTCTACTCTGCCATTCCCTCTCACAGACAGACAAGAAGTGGATACAGCGCTTCTCATATGCAGGCCACTCAGCAGTGATCAATAATCTCTGCTACCTCGTCTGGTTTCAGTTTGGTGCTTTATGTGGAGAGTTGTTTTACTGCAGTTCTCAATGGACAGGAGTCCACATCGTACAAATCATCACTGGGTTTTGCATTCTTCCTGGCAGGATCAACAAAGGCACCAAAGACCACATGGGAGACTCAAAGACCCCTTCATCCTAGACTTGAGATATACTGTACTCCTGGGGGAATTCTGTGCCACTGCGTAATGCAGAATTTCATTCTTCTCATGCAAAATTAGGGCTGCAATACTTCTGGTTGCCATGACAGGCCGCTGGACTCTGGAGAGCCAAGTGAAGTGGTTCCTACTAAATGGAGTGCCCGGCCTGATGGAGATAGAGGAGTCACAAACTGGCTGCCCAGCTTAATCCTCATTCTCCCAGGGATAGGAGAGAGCATAGAAGACTCAATTCTTGCAAAGGGTGAGGAAGGGCAGGGCCGGGGGGGGGGGGAGATGAGACAGAAAAGAAAAGAACTGAATGAAGACTGAGGGCACAGGTGTCTGGGATGGGGTCTCTCTGTGGTGGAGGAATGCAGGTGTCTGGGGTCTGGGAGTGTCTGGCTTTGAGGAAAGGGTAGCGTGGGTGGCCAGGCTTTGGGGGTGCCCCATGCTTGGACTTGCAAGTGGGTGAGTGTCTGAGCTTTGATGGGTGGGGAGTGCAAATGTCTGGGCTCTTGGGGCCCCAGGGGACCCACTCCAGTATCCCCAACTAGAACTGGGGTGTCACAGGATTTTGAAATAAATTACCAAAATAATTGAAACTGGAGCAATTACATTATGCTATTTTGACAAATCACAGACAGAATTTGTAGAATTTTAAAATTATGTACAGAATTTTTAAAATATTTTGGTGCAGAATTCCCCCAGGATGTGGTGAAGCTCAGACCACCATACCTCTTTTACGAACCGATGACTGGAATCCAGCACATTTCACCAACGCAACATTTGAAAAGGAAACAGCAAATTTTGGTCCAATTTCAAAAAGATTAGCAAAAGCAACAAGATACAGAACAACATTGATCCGAGGTATCACCACAAACAAAGGGAAATCCTAGAAATGAGATTTTGTGTGTCACTGATGCTGTTTTTTTACTACTTGCCAGGCAAACTCAGAAAAGGTCAGGAACCACTCACTGATCTACACTAAACCGTCAGAGTTTTAGAAAGAGCAAGATATAGCCAGCAGATCACACTACTAAAGCAAATGTGAAGCAGATTGCTGAGTAGCAGTTCCCATAATTATCCCCTTCAGCTATCATCAAGCGCTTTGCAGAATGGCTGTAAAATCAGAGAACAAGCTGTCCTGAAAAAGATGTCCAAAAGAAGAATGGACTAACTCTTAGCAGTGAGTTAGGGGAGGGGAAGGACAGGGCTGGAACATGACTCCTGTTGAAATCAGCAGAAACTTTATGGGATAAAATTATGGCAAAACAACTTCTAAGTGATATTACTGCCCACTTTTTCAGAAGAGAAGAAGGATTTAGCTTTGCAACTACCCGTCATTTCAGCAAAAGACAGTACCCCCCAGTATGTATAATCTGAGTACATGGAATACTGTATAAAAGCTAGGTACCAATGTCGGTTCTTACAACAAACGTCTAAGATGGAACCTCCCGTGTTTCAGGAGACTGACAGCTCCATCTAAGGAAAAGAAAGTCCCTTCAAAAGGCAACCCAAAGAACATAACCTAGCTACTTAAACTGCAGTGGTTGATGTTTGACAGTTCAGTTTGTGTGCAATTTAATGATATTGCCCTATGTACATATAAGAACATAAGAACAGCCGTACTGGGTCAGAACAAAGGTCCATCTAGCCCAGTATCCTGTCTGCCAACAGTGGCCAGCACCAGGTGCCCCAGAGAGAGGGAACACAACAGGTAATCCTCACATGATCCCTCCCCTTTCATCCATCTCCTGACAAACAGATCCCTGATGTATAGACTAGTTGCTTTTTATATTTGTACAGTGTAAATCATGTAACAAAAAATAAGGTCCATTATAAAAATGGTTTTAGAATATTCTTCAATTAAAACCTTATTTTTCCCCCAAGAAAGAAACATTTTGTACACTTAACCTGTGTACGTATATCTCTGCTGAACGACCATCAATGTTGTTGAAGTTTTAATGACAGCTTTGCTCCAGAGCTAGGGATGTGCGTGTGGTGTGTGCTATTTTCTGGAGGGGGGGATTCTAGTGAATTACTGGTGGTGGGAAACCATTTATTCAAGCAGCTGAAGAAGCTAGTGACACACTGCTGTGTGGATTACGGAACAGACCCAGACAAGAGGGCAGCAGATGAGAAGAGGAAGGTAACCACATTCCTTGTTTGCCAGACAGGCACTATGTGGGGTACACACAGGAACTGTCTGTGTATGTTTATTTAAGAGCACCTCACTTAAGGGACTGTCCAGTTTCTCATGTACTGCTATGTCTAATATAGAATCTTAATTTAACCTTTTGGGTTAAATTCTCTGGGTTGACTTTTTTCCCCTGACATGCTTTGCTGGGAGCCGTTAAAGTTCCAAGAGGGACACGTGGGAGGGGAGAGAGAGAAGG